CACTTCTCAATACGCGCTGGAACACACCTTGACAAACACTAGACTGGGCCACCTCTCAATACGGGCTGGAGCACACCTTGACAAACGCTAGACTGGACCACTTCTCAACATGCGCTGGAACACATCTTGACAAACACTAGACTGGACCACCTCTCAATACGCGCTGGAGCACACCTTGACAAACACGAGACTGGACCACTTCTCAATATGCGCTGGAGCACACCCTGAAGACCACTAGACTGGACCATTTCTCCTACTGGGAGCTGTATATCAAATTGTCTTTCACGTATGTTGCGCGCTTAAAATAAACATATGAATACTACCTAAACTTAAAAGAATATCTCACTTCATCCCGAGTGTCAAATGTCCAGAACACAAAATGAGTCTGAATTCAAACTACTGATGCGGTGAGTCTGTGTCCGAGCGCACAATATCCCCAGACTGGCGAGTCCACCTCCTCGTTCGACTCCTGTGCGAGTGCTAATCAGTTGAATTGAGTTGAGTCCCAAACGGCCACGAGTCCGAGTCCGATCCTGGCACGACTCGGATCCACGAACGCGTCCGGTTGCGGCGCGGACGCTTCCCGCAGTGTTGCTGGCAATGCATGTTTTCTCGGCAACGGCATCGCGCTGCTCTCACACAAGGCTTCGCTGCCGTCGCGCTTTGTTTAGCTCCCAGCGCCGATGACGAGCGACTGGTGGACTTGGCTGCGCGTCACCCCATTTTGCGATCAGTCATGTGACAGACTCATCACGCGTGACATCTGAGAACAGGGAGACTAATCACTTTGCTGTCTGCGGCACCGCTACCGTGCTGGACAAGCTCCGAGTGTGCTTCGCAGTACACCGCGCCGAACAGGCCACGGATTGATCACAGACGTTCGTTGGCACGTCCCGCCGCGCTTTCCCGGGCCTGCACCCCGTGCCGTCGCCGCCGAGAGCCAGTGACGTCACAGCCGGCCGGTCACGGTCCGCCGCGCGCGCCGTGTGTGTGGTTCGGGTGACGGTTCCGCCCGGCGGCCGCGGTTATCGCCGCAGTCGACGGGCGCTGGGACGGCCGGCCTCTCGCCGTCCACAGCAAGCACCGCGCTGCACAGCGCGCCACGCCCCCAGGCGCGGCCATGGAGCGCAGTACCGCACGCTCCACGGTCCACGGTACAACACTTATTTACGCTGTACCGCACCGTTTGTCGCAAGTCTCATTGTATACGATACGACACGTTTCGCGATGGCAAATCTTGTCTGAGATGTGAATGCGCACAGAATGGCGCGTGTCGGTTCATACACTACATTCGTCGTAGACCAGCATTCTCCTCGTCGTGCCATCTCATGGAGTTACGACACATCTCATAGTGCTCGCCACGTGTTTTGGTGTTCGGAGCGGCTAGCCTTATGATGCACGCATGGCACGTGTCATGACGTGCGCCACACGTCATGGTATGTCCAACGCACGTCTTATAATGTTCGCTGTCGTTCGCATCTCTGCACAGTACGACAGGTTTCGCGGCATTCTTCTGTCCGGTGGGATACGTCGCCTTTCATCGCGCATGGGACTGCACGTCCGTGGTATGTGCATGGGACTGCGCGTCCGTGGTACGCCGCGTGGTGCGTTGTACGACCGTCGTGTGGTGGAAGACAACACTTGGTGCAGAATACAACACGCCGCGTAGTGGCTACAATATTGTATATGGTGCGTTCGATGCATTACATAGTTCTCATTTGACACATCGCCGTCAAAAATCCCCATGAGCTTTCACCCGCCCGCGCTCAACGTCGCGCTCAATTGCGATCTTTTCACAAGGTGGATATCCAGGTAGAACAGTGCAGAGGAGCCCACGGTGGACACCAAGGACAGCGACAGTGCAATGGAGCCCACGGTGGACACCAGGGACAGCGACAGTGCAGAGGAGCCCACGGTGGACGCCAGGGACAGTGACAGTGCAGAGGAGCCCACGGTGGACACCAAGGACAGCGACAGTGTAGAGGATCCCACGATAGACACCAGGGGCAGTGACAGTGCAGAGGAGCCCACGGTGGACACCAGGGACTGTGACAGTGCAGAGGAGCCCACGGGGGACACCAGGGACAGTGGCAGTGCAGAGGAGCCCAAGGTGGACACCAGGGACAGTGACAGTGCAGAGGAGCCCACGGTGGGCATCAGGGACAGTGACAGTGCAGAGGAGCCCACGGTGGACATCAGGGACAGTGACAGTGCAGAGGAGCCCACGGTGGACACCAGGGACAGTGACAGTGCAGAGGAGCCCACGGTGGACACCAGGGACAGTGACGGTGCGGAGGAGCCCACGGTGGACACCAGGGACAGTGACAGTGCAGAGGAGCCCACGGTGGACATCAGGGACTGTGACAGTGCAGATGAGCCCAAGGTGGACACCAGGGACAGTGACAGTGCAGAGGAGCCCACGGTGGACACCAAGAACAGCGACAGTGCAGAGGAGTCCACGATAGACACCAGGGGCAGTGACAGTGCAGAGGAGCCCACGGTGGACACCAGGGACTGTGACAGTGCAGAGGAGCCCACGGTGGACACCAGGGACAGTGGCAGTGCAGAGGAGCCTAAGGTGGACACCAGGGACAGTGACAGTGCAGAGGAGCCCACGGTGGACATCAGGGACAGTGACAGTGCAGAGGAGCCCACGGTGGACATCAGGGACAGTGACAGTGCAGAGAAGCCCAAGGTGGACACCAGGGACAGTGACAGTGCAGAGGAGCCCACGGTGGACATCAGGGACAGTGACAGTGCAGAGGAGCCCAAGGTGGACACCAGGGACAGTGACAGTGCAGAGGAGCCCACGGTGGACACCAGGGACTGTGACAGTGACCATGTATCAGCGCAGGCTCGCAGCGCCGCATCGAGCGCCCGTACGAGAAGCATGTTCCATATTATCCAAAGAAGGCACCTTGTGCAACACTGGTATGGTTATGGGATATAGCAGAAAAGCTGACGACACTGATATGTGGCGACATGAATCCTGAACAGGAGACGGAGCGTGAACCGATGGAAGGCAAGAACACAACCATCGTGAACTGAACAAACACGAGCGCGTGTTTACCCTTGATGTGTGTCGCAGGCTGCCGTCACCACTAGTTACCCGATGGGCCGCTCTGGCAGTTCTGGTAACTCTGTTAGGAGGAAGGGTAGCCGCTCATTGTCTGGGAAAGTCAGGCTTTTTAGCAAAACTCAGTTTAGTTTAGAAACCTAAAGCGCTACCCAAAGAGAAATTAGCTGTCCACACCAATGGTAGATGTCGCCGCCCACGAATACCGGAAAACAGTTCGCGTTACAGACGGGGTAAGAGGAGTGTGTAAGCTTTATGCATCACCCACGGCTATAGCCGATTAGTGACTATAGCGGAAGAAGGAACTGGACAGGGATAAGTAGTCAGCATGCTGTCTTAGGAGACAGAGACCGCAAGAGAAAGACAACCCCTTGTAATGACGTCTTCTGCCCTTCGGCATAATTTCGACATGCCATGCTCTTGATCCTTGGAAATAGCTCTTGAGCCAACTATTACAATAAAAATTTGGCAGTAAACGTAACCTAGAAAGTGACAGAGCAACATAAGGTACCTGAACGCAGAGATACAAGTTTGAGTATTACCCGGCATGATTCATCTTCATAGTCATTCGGTATTGGGTATTCCTGAGCAATGCGCTGATGACATTTCCGCGAAATGTCTGGCAGACAGCGTGGAATTGAACAAAACTGACTCTTCCATTCGTTTAACTGAAGCAAATAATTAACTAATTTGGTCGCATTAACTGGTTACGCCGTGCCGAATCCTGCACATCTTGCCGGCTACACTACAACAAGTGGCATGATAATTGTTGAAACAGATTTAAAGCTCATATTTTCACCTCGTCAATTAACGGATTCACGCTCTCGTCAGCAATGCCAAAGTCATAATGTATTTTGCATCACGTCATTTTAAGTGATACCCTGAGTGAAGCCAAGCTCATTTGTCATGTGGTGTAAGTTGTTCTCTCAGCATCAAGACCGCCGTGGTCACCCAAATGCGGGCAAGTCGGTGGGCTATCACGCAAGCCACGCTACCTTTAGAGTTTTAGCTTCAGCTGAGAACAAGCTTCACATTCGTGACTTGCATCAACGAAACATAAACTAACCGCATGCATGACGCGAATATACTACTACAATGCCAGTGTATCAATCCATACTATAGCATTTTGGGACACTGAGTCCCTTACTTAATCAGACATGATCCCGAATGCTGCTTCACCCATTAAAACGTAAATATCTTGTCGAAGTTTAAAGCTGGATCCTTAATCTTGGGACATCTGGGAACGAATTTTAGAAGTGCGTCCTTCATCGAAGACCTTAATACTTGAACCCATGATTACTTTCTGTTGCTAGGCACACGTCTTCTACCAACCGTTTACATCGATCGATACAATGAACAACGGACAAGTTTGGTGTGTAAGATGCAGTAAGACATTCACGATCAGCCGTAACCAAATCACATTCATAAATCACGCCGTTCACCACGCGGCACGGAGAAAACACTGATCGGGAAGTTCGGCGCACCCGAGAACCGCAGACCGTGACGCCAACAATAAACATCGTCTGCGGCCACTTCGTCTGATTAAGCGCCCAATGCCTTCATTTCTCTCGCCCGAATCTAGCTTGCCCGGAAATTAACTCTGTCACGAGCCGATCACTGGGCTGTCAAAGCTCGTGCACTCCGCCTGCTACGAACCGTAGCAAATCCCATGCGGAAATCATTTCTCGAAACTGGAGGTGCCCCGAACGACCGTGGCTGCACGCGCGTGAAAACTGCGCAGAGCACCCCTGATTCAGCGATCTCTGTCGGCGGCTTTCTCCCAAGCATCGGGCGCTAGCACCTCTGCAGTCGGGCCCAGTCACACTGAACGGCGGCGAAATGAAAGTGAAGCCCGGCGAGGGAGGCGGCGGGGCCCATAGCTGCCAGTCGCCGAGTGGGAGCCGCTTGGCGGCGGACTGTTGACTCGGTGGTGACGCTCGGCTCTGTTTGATCGGCTCGTCCCCCGAGGATGCCGTCCAGTTGAGAGTCAAGGTGAGGCCGCAGGTCGTCGCACCTTTCGGCGAAGGCGTCGGGAAGTGCCGTGGCCATAGACCGGGCTTTGACTTTGGACTTTGGGAGTTTGACGAGCACACAACGTGTGTACATCTGCTGCCAAATCTGAAATTCAAATGACCGACTGAGCCAGAGATCCGCCGGACCCGCAGGAATATCCCAAAACGGTGTGCCAAAACTATTTGCTATTTCTTTTTCAGTAGTCGGAACGTTATTGTTACGCCATCGGGAAGGTGGAGATCCTACCCATCCTGCAGATCCAGGGCATTCAGAAGCTTCCGACAACTGTATAGTGGCAACGTTCTCCTATCTGAATGCTATGTCGGAGCGATTGTGCTCAAGAAGGGTGCGGGACGAGCTGGCTCGCGATGTGAGCACGCGGGCTGGTCTCGGTCTCCAGTTACCTGCGCAGACAAGCCACAGAGTCGTGGCGAGGTATTGGAAGCCGGACATGACAACCGGGCTGAAGCAAGACATGACAATCGGGCTGAAGCAAGACATGACAATCGAGCCGAAGCAGGATCAGAAATCGAGACGGACGGATCAGGAATCAGCCCGCAGCGAAATCGGAACGGGGTGGAATCAGCAGAATCAAGAAGCACGCTGCGGCAGTCGGTCCGGCGTGACTTGCCGTTCCTTCAGGCGCCGCTCTGGCGCGGTCTGGCTCATGACGCCGGCCAGTGAGCATCCCGCCGGGCGTGCTCAGTTGTCAGTGTACGGCAGGGCTCACCCTCAAATATTCATGGAAGTTTAACGCTCGCCCTGATTCATTGCTCTTCATAACGCGGATTGATAAGCGGTCGATGCGACCCCTGTCCCTGCCGCTTCCTAAGGAAGATAGTGCTTAGGAAAAGGCATCGGTGGATTGTTCTGAAAAAGCTCTGGCGATTGTATTTTTTGTAGTTGCTGGCCCTTTTTCGTGTTGTTCCCGCATATTTGTCAGTGTTTTCGGCTTTATTACGCTCACATACACGGGTGTGGTGCTATTCTTTGCTTTCATGATTACAGGCCTTTCTTCCGTGAAAACATGCACCACTTCTCAAATTCATGAATTATATAGCACGAAACTTGGTTAGTATTTGCAACATGCACTCAGCGCATGAAAATTGACCAAGACTTGCTGGTGACCGTTGATGCCACAAAACGTGATGACTTACGACAGACACAAATCATTTTGTTGATCATAGCACTCTTGGCCTTGAGCAGAGGTGCCATTGTCTAAAAGATCTTACGCTAAGTCTAATCCAAAATCCACGGGTTAGACTTGGCACAAGTCTAACCCGTTGCTGCTTACTGTCGAAGAAGTGTCCAAAGAATCAAGTTGTCTGAAAATTTCTAATTGTTGGCATCATATAAATCCTACCTTTACCCAATAACATCGGGTTACTAATTGCGTGATTTCAGCTTCAGTCGGTCTCCTCACTCAAATCGAATGAAAAGAAGACTGAAATTCTCGAGAGAAACAAGGTGCCTTTGCATTAACACGTGCCCCTGTGGCCAGTTTAATACCCTTCGCTCGGGTGGGGTGAGGTGAGTCAGCTTGAACCGCCAAGCTCTTAAAAATAAGAAAACTTGAGACACCAAATTCACATGGTGTTTTGATCTGTACGTAAGCTCACTTGCGTCAAAATTTGAGGTTCCCAGGTCATGACCTTTGGGTCTAATGAAGACAACCAATGTCAAACTCCAGATTGGTGTCCAAAGCGCCCCCAAACTTTCTCATGCAACCACTGCGAACCTAAATACATATTCTAAGCAGAACCTCACTGGTGATCGTTTAAGGTCCGTGACATTGTGTGATCCTCCCAAGTTCATGGCGACCATACAAGGCTGCTTTGATTATTGCATTTGAACAAGCGTCAATGATTACGCTATGCAGCATGTTCTTAAAAGCAAAGTGCTGACCTGTGTCATTTTAGGTCCGTGACCTTTTCTGACCTTTAAGAAGTTCATGAAGAACGATAATGCGGTTCCTGACATCAGTAAACTCAAAATGAGCATCAGAAGTTACCGCATACAAGCTCTAGCGTAATAAGACGGTTTGGTTTTGACGTTGGTCCGACCTTTCTTCCTGATTCTAGGTCAATTAAATCGTTCATGCAATTATTGTGTTGCCTAGGAAACCGTCACAGAGATGTTTGGATTTGCCTGACACTCGGTAAATGCGTGTTGCATCCGATTGAACGGCTCCATAGCAATTAATTGCCTTCGCTGAATCCATGGCACAATTTTGACCTGCCGTAGATCAGTGACTTTGCAAGGTAAATCTAAAAGTGTGATACCAAACGATCAGCCATCGCATTGTCGACAGCAATGTAAAACTTGGCTATGTAGAACTTCGATTTTTTTTTGAAAAATCTTCGGAAAGGTCAGATTGACGCCCATCCTTGCATATCTTGAAAAAAAATTGAGTCACTTGCCAATTCGCCACGCAGCACAACTATATCGGCTATTCAATGAAATTGACAGATTTCTGCCCCTGCCTGTCTCATTTACAAAAGAAAGCTTTGGATTTTTTTTGAATTCCAAAATTTGGAATCTATTCGGCATGTCTAACCAATACCTAACTAAATCAGGAATCCGGCATCGTGATGGACTCCATCCATGGATTCCGGCGTCTCTCTCTAATCGTAAATCTCTAATCTAATCTAACCTTTAGCACTACATGGTAAATGAAGTGGCAGTACATGTGTAGCGTTTTTATTTCGTCGTTCATGTCTGTGTGACTTAAGAATATTCTGCATGATATAGTCTGCACAAATTGTGCGCCGACAATCGCACTAAAAAGTATTCAACATGAGTGCCCCAGTTGAAAACCCCACGCAAATGTGAAGCCCTCCCTTTAATCCCTTCTGCATCCATGTGTGCTAATGACATTTTTATTCAATAGCACAGCCATTTTCAAAGTACAGCTGATGATTTGAGATCCATGCTGTTGCAGTAAGGTATCTGTGCGAATGTGCAGCTCGCGAGATCGTTCCGTCCTGACTAAGCCTGATATGTGGCGAGAAAGCAATCTCAAACCATAACGAAAATTTGTCTTCCTGAAGCCAGTTGGAAACCGTCAATTCACCAGTACAACTTCCACTCAATGTGAAATTAGTTTTGTTTCATGAAAACACCCAAATTTGTACCAAATTAAGTCGATAAGTGGTCGAAGTAAATTCAGTGATGCAGCCAAAACCTGCGTTGCACAATTAAAAAAAAAGAAAATAGACACGGAATTGAAAAAATAAAGTCATGATAGCTTGTGACAATTTCAGTGATCCAAACAAAACCGCACTACACAATTGTAAAAATTAGACAGTTGACACCCCGTAACAGGTTTCAAACGGACCAAATCTTCGCCATGCATGTTATGAAAAGCTGACAGTTGGGTTGTACATTTCAGTGCAGCATGCATGAGTGGATAACATTCGTTTTACGGCATCATTTTGTGGAAAAGTATCAAGTTGGGGAAATAGATGTAATATTTTAGAGGGCGCAGCACGTAGATAGCCCATAATTCCAGCAATGCATACATACTGATTTATCTACGGACATGTCCCGCAATATTTTTCAGCTTAAATCAATGCACCGCGGTGCAAAATAAAGGGCACAGCTCTGAGTTGAAAACTCTCAAGGTGGAGATATTGGATATTGAATACTGAAGTCAGAAATGTCTGATCAGGGTCATCCCGCTGATCCCAACCGCACACAGTCATGCGATGCTGTGGAAACTGTGCATAGAAATTATCTGAAGAAGTAAAAACTGAAAAAAACGAACAAAAACATAAATGGTGTCACATACTGCTTGCAGGAATCTAACGATTTATTTCAAATTTTGGGATTTTCTTTGCATCAGATTTGTATGTCTTTGAATCATATAGCTTGATATGGGGACAGCAAAAGGATATTCTTAGAAAGGGTTTTCATGATTGTAACTTTCTATCACAAAAATTTTCGACAACCGCTCCCTTTGAAAAGATTCATTTCAATGTAGCCTAGCTATGCTACCACATCATATCAATGTAACAAAACTTTACTACCACATATGCCTTCGATTTGATGCACCCTATGCGTAGTTTTAGATGTGTGTACGTCCACATGATTTAAAGTATCTATTGCCCGATCTTGACTTACCGGCACAGCTTAAGTTGCGATGACATTCAGACTTACGCTGAAAATCACTGACATCGCCACAGGCTGCCTCGCTCAGGCCTGCAAAGGACAGTTCAAGATAGAGGAATCCGCCGTCTAAGTTGCCGGTAGTCGACATTGCAGCGTCTCACATGGGACGATGGGACGGCTAAGGACGGTAACTCGACTAAATGAGTCGGAACGTTAGCATATTTGATGGTACATAAACTCAATTTTAGCCCAACAAGGATCAGCACGCAACATTTTAAGTGCAAAGAAACTATAACGCACACCGTCGATGTGATGAGCCAAAAAACAAGAAATTAACGCTCAGCAAAGGTCGGGTCACAAACTGTCCGCAGTCACACAAGAACGTCCACGTTTTAAAATCTTGAAACAAGTATGAAATGTGATGAAATAAGATTACTTAAAACTATTCGCATAATTTAAGTGGAAAAGACTTCTCTAGACAACACAATGGATCCGTCTACCAAATGTGCACCTTAACGCGTCATTGTTTGATTACGTCATCGTTCCTTGCACAACGTGATTGGGAGCCTGCAGTTTACTTTCCTTCTACGATTTTTCGAGCGCGGTCAAAAATAAATGCTCACGGATGCACGACATTTTCAAGCACGTGTTCATCTATCAATTTTGCATCCTTTGTGCGAATTCTTAAGTTTTTATCTACTAAGCTCATTGGTCTATTCCACGTCAAAATGGTCAACCTCTAAAAAACTTTGTCCATGCATTACTTAGTTGCTGGTCATTTACGATTGTTCAAACTCGCTGCAGTAATCGAACATGATAGTACGTACAACTTGCATATTTCAAATGTTTCGGAAAACGCGAGTTCCATGACCTGAAGTCAGGTCAATTACTGCCATTTCCGCAAATAATGCAAATTTGTACGAATTTTGTGTGTAGTTTTGGTGTTCTGAAATGAGGAAAAGAGAGTAAGAAGAAGAACTTGCATGCAAAACCATCATATGGCCACAGAGCACATGACCTAAACCCTAGCCATTGCTTATCTTGTGGGATACCTTCTGTACAGCACATGCTGAGGTCAAAACAGGCAGTGTCGTTGGGTAAGATTAGCCGCAGAACTCGAATCTTCACTAAAAACATGTGGCATCATTCTGATGCATAGTCGGGTCATAACGGTTCATGTGAGGACATGCAAGATCACATGAGGTCAGCGGAGGTCAGTAACCTATATTGCCAATAACGGAGAGGCTGGACAAAGGAGTGTAACGCGCACAACCATCTCCTTATCACGTTTGTAAAGCAGATCACCTCTAATTTCACGCACCAATGTACCTGTTCTCAGATTGTTACAAAATGCATTGCCAAGTCAGAAGGATTTTCATCACGTAGACAGCAGCTATACGATGCATTCTTGATGGGTTGAGAAGACTTTCAAACGGTATCTTACTAGTCAGCGTTCGGCGTTTGAAGGTTGGAGATCCTAGGGGAAGTAAACTTTCACTCGGCCGGACACAGTGGTCTCAAACCCCGGCGCATGCGGGCTGAAATATGAATGAGAAGCATTTAAATGTCATATGGCAGATGCCATGGTATGGGGAGCATTAATATGCCGTGTCATGGCAGATGTCATGGGGTGTCACAGAAGAAGTCATGACCTCAATAACGTCATTTACTTCACAGAACGGCTCCAAATGTGAAAGATCTCGAGCCAAAGAGGCCCTAAGCTTCATCTCACAACCTACCCGGGTGTACCTAAAAGGTGGAGTGGTGTTGCACCCCGCTGGTGTTCTAGGGGTATATCTCCACCGTAAATCCAATTATCTTCTTTCTTCAGCATAAACTTGGGCATATGGAATGACACATGTCATATGCCACATATGTCGTACATAATGTTAATGCATTGTTCACTGACAGTGACTGCATTGTGACTGTTACTGACAACTCACTGCATACCGTTGTGAACGACCAGCAGGGGCCGCGTGGAACACGTGAACCCCGTCCGCGGTCACGCCCAGCTCAGTCTGTCTCGTCCGCGGTCACGCTCAGCCCAGTCTGCCCCGTCCACGGTCACGCTCAGCTCAGTCTGCCCCGTCCGTGGTCACGCTCAGCCCAGTCTGCCCCGTCTGCGGTCACGCTCAGCCCAGTCTGCCCCGTCCGTGGTTACGCTCAGCCCAGTCTGCCCGTCCGCGGTCACTCTCAGCCCAGTCTCCCCGTCCGCGGTTACGCTCAGCCCAGTCTGCCCCGTCCGCGGTCACGCTCAGCCCAGTCTGCCCTGTCCGCAGTCAAGCTCAGCCCAGTCTGCCCTGTCCGCAGTCACGCTCAGCCCAGTCTGCCTCGTCCGCAGTCACGCTCAGCCCAGTTTGCCCTGACCGCAGTCACGCTCAGCCCAGTCTGCCTCGTCCGCAGTAACGCTCAACCCAGTTTTCCCTGTCCGCAGTTACGCTCAACCCAGTTTTCCCCGTCCGCGGTCACGCTCAGCCCAGTCTGCCCCGTCCGTGGTCACGTTCAGCCCAGTTTGCCCCGTCCGCAGTCACGCTCAGCCGGCCTGCCCCGGGCGGCGGGCAGTACCGCCCGCTCACCGCCGCACCCTCGGGCGGTACACAAGGCACTCGAGCACAGTGTCGTTAAGGGATGCACTGCATAGTCAACACCGGTCTGGCGCGGGTAATCGAGATAACGAACGGCCATTGTGAGTTACCACACGTCACATGTACGTGACATTTAACCTCAAGCGTCACTGGCACAGGCTTGCTCAGGGTTACTACACGTACTCTAGGCCGTTTTACCGGTTCAGTATTTAATGATAAGTTGTGCTCTCCCCTCTCGCAGTTATGTCATCTGTTGACCCCGATGGCTTCTGATGGCCGCGATCTTCTTCCTCAGATGACTGTCCTCCTGCTGCTGTTTGTCGTCTGCGTGGCGTCGGGCGTGCTGCCACAGGCTCCGCCCACGCCGACGTCACAGTCGTCATCAACTGTGACGTCACTATCAAATCCTGACGTCAGCTCCAAGATGGCGTCGCCACGTGCCGCCCCGTCGCCGGAGGGCCGGCTGCCTCTGCAGGGCGAGCAGGAGCAGCCCGGCGCCCCCAGCAACACGGCCGTCGGACCCATGAGCTTCGCCAAGATGGCGACCGAGGACAGCGTGCTGTGCATGGACGATGAGTGCTTCGCGGCGCTCCTGGCGCAGATGCTGCGAGGTCGCGGCGCGGATGCCCTCGACGGCGACGAGGCCGAGATTCCTGGAGGAAGGCGTGCTGCCCGAGGCAGTGAGGCGCCTGTTCGCCGACTACGTCCAACGCGTGACCGTCGAAGACCCTGTCACGGGTCGCCTGGTGAGCGGCGACACGGTCTCGCTGGCGCCGCCGCCGACGCCATCACGGACCGCGCCACCAGCCGCGCTGCGCCGTGCTCGCCGCGGCGTGCTCGCGCCCGTCGTCGGGATCGACTACAATGACGGCGGGGCGGCGGTGCCACGGCTGCCGGCGGCGCGTCCGCAGCGGCAGCGGCAAGCCGCGGTCCGACGCTCCCCGAGCGCACCGCCGGCGCCGCCGGTACAGAGCCGCGAGCTGGTGGCGAACCCGCCAGACAAGCACCGCTTCGGCCCGCCCAAGGCGGAGGATGTGCAGTTGGGGCAGCTGCACGCGCCACCGCACTCTTCGCCGCCGCGCCGGTCGGGCCCGCCGCTGCGAACGCCGGGTGTGTACGAGCGCCCGCCGCCTCTGATCACTCGAGCTGACCGCGTCACCAGGCGGCCGCCGCACACGGACCAGGCGAACTCCGTCACGCACACGTACTCGGAAAGCCACGACCCGGTTCGCTACAGGGTATTCGGAGGCGGAGGGCCAGGGCACGGTGGAGGAGCCGGTCTCGGCGGAGGAGCCAGCTTCAGCGGAGGAGTCAGTCACGGCGGAGTAGCCAGTCATGGTGGAGGCGCCAGTCTCGGCGGAGGAGCGGATAACGGCGGGGGATTTCGTATCGGGGATGAAGTGTATCCTGACGACTATGGACCCCCTCTCGTCATTGGCGGGAGGCCCCACACCCCCGACCCGGGCATCGACACCAACAGTGTGGACAACTACAGCCACATCGGAGACTCCGGTATCCACGGGACCGGACCGGACGCGCCGTTCCACGCGGTCTCGCCACCGCCGCAACATCAGCTGTGTGAAGACGGCTGCGGGCAGGACATGGTGGACGAGATCGAGACGTTCTTCAGCAAGAACGACCCGTTCCGTGATGTGGCCAGTCTGAAGGACGAGGAGATCCGCCTGGATGAGCCCCCTAGCTACCAGCACGTGCACCTGGGTCCGACCCAGACGAGCCTGGGCCCCGGTAGTGGCCAGTTTCACCCCTTAGGCGACGCCAGAGGCGGTGCTTTACCACCACCCGTCGGTGACCCAAGCGGGGCCTTGCCGGAGCTCTCCGTCGGTAACTGGAGAGGTGTCGTATCGCCGTCCTTTGATGCTGGCCCGGGGGCCGCTGTGCCACCGTTTGCCCGTGGCTCAGCGGCTGCCAGACCGGTACCCTTCGTAGGAGACGTGAGGGTTGCCAGGCCCCCATTCGTGAGTGACGTGAGGGGTACCGGACCCAACTGGGCGGGCGGGGCGAGGGTCAGCGAGCCGCACTTCCCCGCCCACCCGCGGGCTGCTCGACGCCCCTTGGTCGGCGTCCCTAGTGGCCTGGGCGATGACCTCATTTTCAGACCCGGCGGCGGAGGGCCGCACCGTCCCCCGCCGCGGCGCCCGGCCGGCCCGCCGCCGCCGCTGCGGCGCCACCGTCGCGAGCTGGCCAGCCCGCCGCCGCCGCTGCGGCGCCACCGTCGCGAGCTGGCCGGCCCGCCGCTGGTCGGCCTGTTCGAGGGCCTCGACTACCTGCCCGACATCCCTGACCCCGACGTCCTGGAGGCAGAGTACGCACAGGCTGTGGGCCAGGGGTATCAGCAGGAGGGCCAAGGCTACCAGCAGGAGGATCAGGGATACCAGCCGGAGGGTCAGGGCTACCAGCAGGAGGGCCAGGGCTACCAGCAGGAGGGTCAGGGATACCAGCAGGAGGGTCAGGGCTACCAGCCAGAGGGTCAGGGCTACCCGCAGGAAGGCTTCAGGGACGGCGGAGGTCACGGGGGTGGGGGTCATGGAGGAGGTGGTCACGGAGGAGGTGGTCATGGAGGAGGTGGCCATGGAGGAGGTGGCTATGGAGGGGAAGGAGGGGGTTATGAACAAGGATCCAGTTATACCACACACACGCATAGCAACGGCCCAAGTATTGGCGACTATGAGCCTCCGAAACCCAGCTATTCGCCGCCTGGGAAGGGTTACTCCCCTCCTAAACCTTCCTATGGGCCAACCGAGCCCAGCTACGGACCTCCTAAGCCAAGCTACGGTCCTCCCCAACATGGATATGAGCCACCAAAACCAAGCTATGGTCCCCCTCAAAAGGGGTATGAACCACCCAAACCTAGCTACGGTCCACCTCAGAAGGGATATGAACCACCCAAACCTAGCTACGGTCCACCTCAGAAGGGGTATGAACCACCCAAACCTAGCTACGGTCCACCTCAGAAGGGATATGAACCACCCAAATCTAGCTACGGTCCACCTCAAAAGGGGTATGAACCACCCAAACCTAGCTATGGTCCACCTCAAAAGGGTTATGAACCACCCAAACCTAGCTACGGCCCCCCTCAGAAGGGGTATGAACCACCGAAATCGAGCTATGGTCCTCCACCACAAAGCTACGGTCCACCCCAGCAAAGTTACGGGCCACCTCCCCAGAAGGGCTACGGGCCACCTCCCCACCAAAGTTATGGACCGCCGCCACAAAAGGGTTACGGGCCGCCGCCCCAAAAAGGATACGGGCCGCCGCCCCCAAAAGGCTATGGGCCGCCTCCTCAAAAGGGGTATGGCCCTCCGCCCCATAAGGGCTATGGGCCGCCGCCACAAAAGGGCTATGGGCCGCCGCCACAAAAGGGCTACGGCCCCCCACCGAAACCAAGCTACGGGCCACCCCAGCAAAGCTACGGTCCCCCACCTCAGAAAGGCTACGGGCCCCCTCCTCAATATGGTTACGGTTACGGGCGGAGCACCATTCCATACCATCCCCCATTTGGACCCCATCCCCATCCCCATTTCTTCCGGCCGAGGCCGCCGCCTCGTCCGTTACACCACATCCACCGGCGACAAGACGGTGGCATAGAAGACGGGCCAGATCCTTCACGTACCGGTGAAGGTCACGACACGGTCACCGTGACACCGCACAAGGTCGAAGTCAAGATCGTCAAGGATAAGTCGGGGACGGAAACACAGCACGTACGCTTATACACAAAGGACGCGGCTGGCTAGCGGAGAGCTTGTGGCGGTGTTGGAGCGTGACGTGCGATCGGTGTGATGTGTTTAGGTCATTGTTATGATTGTTACGGTGTTGGTTGAAAGACGGATGTGCAGCCGTTTGCTATTCAGCTGTGTTGGTGCCAATTTCGTTCGGATGATATTACGCGCATGCGTAGAGCAGGCTGACCCGCCTGCGTTTTGTTTTTGTTAACCTCGTTTGTGGGTGCAGGTAGATGCTTGTGTTGGGCGGGGTGCAGTAGAGCCGGCGCCACAAAACAGACTCTCCGTCAAGCCGTGCTGCCCCTGCCTGCGTTTCGTCCTGATGATAAGTGACACCAGTCCGTTGGGCAACACAGTCACTCAAACTACTGTCGTCGTCGAATCCCTCATCACTTGTCTCTCGTGTTTCGGAGGGTGACGGTCGTCGAATCTTTTGATCGATCAACATTACTATTAAGAATTTGATTACAATAGAACCCGCGATGACTTTTCCTCTGGAGAAACCGGGCCAAAGCACAGCAATGAGCCACGATCGCCTATGTACGTCAGCGTGCTTTCATTTAAGATGTCAGGCAAGCCACCTGGGCTGGATGACTGCTGTGTTAGGGTTCTTCCATTTATTTCCAGCTGAGACAGTCTGGTCTGCAAGCCCGCTCGGTTCCCTACGGCCGCAATAGCCAGTAAAACCAAAAAGGGCTCCGGAAGGTTTCAGCGTCCAGTTTCCCTTGAACTGGAGTTTCCACCACACTTGCCAATGAAGAACGGCAGCATTATATCCAAATTGTACGCAGACTTCTTTTGGCAGCAGAGTGGTGACGTACCGTCGGTCGCACCCGCAACAAAACCGGGGTAGCCGCACCACGATCATCACTGTCACCACCATTCAACCGTCAGAGCGTCAAATTGCACCACTGGAAGCGCCTGGGCTCCTTCGACGACCCCCGTGCTCTAGTTGTTCCAGCGTGCGCGCCTGTAATCCTGTTGTTCTGGTTCAGAAGTAACTCAGCCGGCCCAACATCTGGTTCAGGAGTAACTCTGCCGGCCCAGCGTCTGGTTTAGGAGTAACTCTGGTTGCCCAGCGTCTGGTTCAGGAGTAACTCTGCCTGCCCAGCGTCTGGTTCAGGTGTAACTCTGCCGGCCCAGCGTCTGGTTCAGGAGTAACTCTGGCGGCCCAGCGTCTGGTTCAAGAGTAACTCTGGCGGCCCAGCGTCAGGTTCAGGAGTAACTCTGGCGGACCAGCGTCTGGTTCAGGAGTAACTCTGGCGGCCCAGCGTCTGGTTCAGGGGTAACTCTGCCGGCCCAGCGTCTGGTTCAGGAGTAACTCTGCCGGCCCAGCGACTGCCCAGGCCAGCGGCAGAGAGAAACTTCGGCAAGCTTTAGAGGGAGTATAGAGGGGGAGAAGAAGAAGAGCGAGGAGAGTGAGAGAGAGGAGAGGAGAGAGAGAGAGAGAGAGGCGAGAGAGAGAGAGGAGAAACAGAGATATATCTGATATCTCTCTCTATCTCTCTCTCTCTCTCTCTCTATCTATCTCTCCTTCTCTCTCTATCTCTCTCTCTCTCTCTCCTCTCTCTCTCTCTCTCTCTCTCTCTCTCTCTCTCTCTCTCCTCCA